CTGTGTTGTGGGGTCTACTGATTCCGGAGAAGGTTTCGGTTATGTACCTTCCCCACCTTGGGAAATTTTCACTAATATGATTTTTCTTTAAAAATCTTTTTTTCTCAGCTTTTAGTAATACGTCATTCCATACGCTCGGTGTTGGGCACTCTCGATTTCCCGGTGTGTATTTTATTGAGTTTTTTAAATACCACTTATATTTTGTCTTTTCTGAGGTTTCTTTTATTTCCCGTACAATTATGATAAAACTTCTCTATTACGAAACTCTCGGACTGTGTTGTGGGGTCTACTGATTCCGGAGAAGGTTTCGGTTATGTACCTTCCCCACCTTGGGAAATTTTCACTAATAATATGATCTTTCTTTAAAAGTCTTTTTTTTTTAGAAATTCGTCATTGGGTACGCTCGGTGTACCGGGTCGGTTATGAATTTCATCACTCACGACTATCCGCCTAAAATTTATTCGCGAAAGTTCTTATGAGAATGCCTCATGAATAATACCTCTTTTTAAAAGCTAGTATTCTTGATGAGGAATTTATCATTTGATACTGTATGTGTATTTTTTTCTTTATCTACTTCACTAAATTTTTGTAACCAAATTATAATATAAACTAACAATAACATTTCATAATAGTATATATTATTACGAAGAAGGAGAAATGGGCAATGCAGGATATTCAAGATAGATGGTCTTGATATTATAGTTAGCATTTATTAGCGTTTATTATTTTTTTATATTCTATTATTCTATTATTATTATCTACTAGCGTTTATTATTATTTTTTATGTATAAGAAATTCGGCTAGCGATCATTAAGTTATCACAATGAAGATCATTTGGGCCAATATTGTTCACTGCCATAATTGTTCTCCGGCCAAATTAGTCCACTGGCCAAATCAGTCTCCTGGACAAAAATGTCCTGTTAAAATTCATGTATATAAATGGCGGAATTCTTCTTTAATAAAGCTTAACTATTACAACATTTAACACAATTCACATTCGCAATAATAAACAAATCATTCAATCCTTGAAAGTCCGATAATTCCCTAAACACGAAAACATCGTTATTTATTGAAAGATATAATTAATAAACATACCTGATTTTATAGAGCGCCGACGTTGCAGGCAATACGATATCTATGTTGTATTAGATTAGAATTAAGATTAGTTAACAATAGGTATCAAAATAAATTGAATGAATATTCATGAACCTTTCTCATTTGCTTTAATCAATAAATTAAATTATAATATTATGAAAAATTAAACTTGTTTTTAATTTATTCTTAATAAAATGGATTCATTTTGCTTTTAAAAAATATATCCTAGATGAGTATTTGATTTTGATTTTATTTTTATTATCAATTGTTGTTTGTTAAAGGAAACGAAATACATTGATGGATAATGATCATCATCTTAATTATTTATAAATTGTCTTTTATCAGACATTTAGGTTACCATCAACAATTTAACAAATTATATACCAATCAAATCTCATAAATTTGTATTAATTGGCTATTGAGATCTGTCATTGTAAAGTAATTTAAGTATAAAATAATAATAAAGAATATTTTGGATTTTCAAATAATCTAACAAATTCATGATGTTTTTGCAACTAATTTTTTATTACTGAAAAAAGCTAATACTATTAGATTAAAATCTAAAGAATAAGTTGGTAAAAAAATATTTTTTTCTAAATTCTTTAAATATTGAATATAATTTTTCATTATATATTCTAGATTATTAATAATAAGAATACCTTTTTTTTATGAAAATATAGAATCTATATATATTAAATAAAAAATTTATTACTTATAATTAGAAATAATAAAAAAAAAATAATAAATGAATCATATGATTTACTATATCTCATAACTTGATTTTATTTTACTGAAAATATTTCCATACATTATTAAATAAAATCCTAATTATTTATTTAATAATTTCAATAAATTTTCAAATAATTATTATTTTATAAATAGTGTTCTACAAAAATCAGATCTAATCTAAATCTTATTCAAATATGAGAGATCAGATCAAATCAAATTTAACAAATTCAAATCAGATTTAGATTTAGATTTGAGTTTAATCTGATCTATCAAATTCAAATCAGATTTAGATTTGGATTTGATCTGATCTATTAGAATTCAGATTTGAGTTTATCAAATTTAAATCAGATTAGATTAAGCTCAAATCTGATCTAATTTGATTTATGTAAAATACTACCTATAAGTTTAAAATAATAATTTAAAAAACAGATATATTAAAAAAGCTATTACTATTAATTTAGAATTTCTAGTTATTAAATAAATATTATAAAAAAATGTATTAATAAAATTTATTTTAAAACATATTAATTATTTATAACTTTAAATTATATTTAAATGAAAATCAAATTGATATTTTAAATCATTTGCTATTATTTAAAAAAAATTCAAAATAAATATATTAAAAAGTAATCATAAATCTAACAAAAATCATTAAAAAAAATGGAAGAATACAAATATTTAGAATAAATATAAAAAATATATATTATATAATCTATTATAAATATTATATAAATAATTAATTTAATTAGTCTAATGTAATAATCATTATAATTAATCAAAAATAATAATATTTCTAGATTATTAGAAAAAATATATAAGTTTTTAGATTAGTATATTCAATTTGAATTAATATTTATTAATTAGAATTCAAAGTATAAAATAATTTTCAAGAATATGATATATAGAAGGTTTATAATAGAAAGGTATAAAACTTTAAAAAAATTTTTTTTGAGTTAATGTTAAATATCAACTTATTTATTAAAAAATCATATTTAGTTTATAAAATAAAATTTAATTTTTTTAGAATTTCATACTTTTTTATTACAAAACGTTTATATTTATTAATACATAATAATTTTGATTAATTAAATAAATTAATTAATCTAATTAATTTTTATAATTTTAGCAAATCCAATTTTTACAATTAAAATAAAGTTAATATGCTTTAGTGATTAAATTAAAGTTTTTAATTATTTAAAATTAAGATTTAAGAAAAAAATGAAGTATATCTGTTATTAATTAAAAGATAATAATATTATTTTTTATTTAATATCTTATTTAAATTTTAAAATAAATTTATATTGATAGATTTATTATACTATTTTTTTATAATTGAAAGGCTATATGAATTAGAATGAATAAATTTTGAAATAATTTTAACATTTTTTATTATTATTAATTTTATAATTTTTATTAAATAAAATTTTTTTTTTTATTATATTATTATATTTAATAAAAATATAATTTAAATTAAAGAAATAATATAGAAAATCAAGTAAAATTTATTAATTTTGAAGATTATTTTAATGCTGATCATTTATAAATAAAAATAAAATAATTAACTTTAAAATCCTAAAACTTTATTTTACATAATATAAAAAAAATATATTTATAATAATAATATTATAAACAATGAAGAATAAAAATTACAGTTAAAAAATTTTGAGTTTTAAACATTTGAAAATTGATAATTTTCTTATAAAATACTTAAATTTAGACTTGTAAATTTATATTATACTAGTAAAATGAATATATTTATATAAAAATTTGCAGATAGAATACATTCATTTGATATTATAATAACATAATTATTATATTTAAAAAAATTTAAAGTTATAATGTAAATGTTATATTTGCTTTTATAATACTTTTAATTAAACTTGCTTTATATTATACATAAATAATAAATCAATAAATTGATAATTTGATATTTTAATCATATGACAATTTTAAATTATAAGATGATTTTTAATTAGATAAAGATCATATTATTAGTAATAGTCTAGTTATAACATATGATATTATATCAAACATAATTAGTGAATTATAATCCTAACAATTATAAATCTTAACTTTCTATAATTTCTTTAATTTCTATAATCTTTTACATTTCTTTAATATATTTAATTTCTTATATTAATTTATTTTCTTTACTTTATTATATGGGAGTTGAGCTATTAAAAATGGGTAATAGAAATCTTTCAACAAAAAATAAGGTTTTTGATTTATATTATAATATATTAAATGAACTTTATTCAATTAAATTTTTAGAAATTATTGGTTTATTAATAAAACAAGTAATTAGATTGGCAAAAATGCTTAAATTTCTATGTAATATCAATCAAATATCTAAAATTAGATTTTATAAAAATGATTGATATAAATTTTAATAATTATTAACAAATGATCAAATAAATAAAATGCTTGGAAGTATGGTTTTAAAGTTTCAAGTGTTACAAAATTGATGTAATAAAAATTTTGCAATGTAGATTTTAATAGTAAAATTTTAAATATTTATAATTTTATTATTTTTAAAATAATTTAATATTTGTAAAATTAATTATTATAATAAAATAAAATATAAAAGATATATATAAAATTAAAATATTACCTTATTAATTTTTATATTTTCTTATTTAATCATCATGATAGTATCAGAATAGTGATAATGATCCTTAACACACTATAATTATCTACTTAAACTCTCAATCTAAGCTCTCTATTTTATAGGTAAACCTCACAAATTTGATTAGTTTTTAGATATTGATATATATGTTACTATATGTATTAGACTTAAGTACTTTTAGAAGTTACCTTTTAAGGTTACTGACTATTTAAAGATCACATATTACTTTAAACTGAAGAATCTATTATATCATAATCCTTGTTAGAAATTATTTTTGTCTAAACTAATGTTGCAGGATTTATAGGATAATTACTATAAAATTTGTTCAAATGATGAACTAGCAGGGAATGATCTAGTCATATTGATAAACATCTTAGGAATAAAATCTAAATTTAGATCTAATAATATGCTTGATTAAATAATACTGCAATATATAATGCAATTTATTATAACTGTTGATTTAATCTTCTAAATTTCTGGATAATCACTTTCTTACTTGTATAAAAACCTCTATAATGTGTAATAAAAAATTATATTTATTATAGATCAATTAGCAAAGATAAGTTTCTATTGATTGGCTTCATTTACATTATTAAGCTTAAACTGTTCGTCGTTAAGTTAACAAAGATTATTTGCTAGCAGGGATTTTAAGTACATCTAAACTATGGAAGAAATAAACACGAATAGTTAAATTGAAGTATCAGATCATCTTTATTGATATAGATTTAAAGAAGAATGAATTGCTTTATGAGCAAAGGTAAGTTTTAGAGATAAATGTTATTGTTTATTAGAGAATTGGTAGTGACTCTGCCATTTAGCGGGTCAAAAATACAGAGTATTTATACAAAATAAAGTAATAGTAAATAAAATATGATAAATATAATAAATGTAATAAATGTAATAAATATTACTAATCTATCTAAACTAACAAATATAATATATATAACAAATATAATAAATCTGGTAAATCGGTCAA